ATGTATACATCACTTCAGGGGACATTACATTGACTTACATGCATTTCCTGGAGACTTATCCTAACCTTAACCATAACCAACACATGCCTAACCCTAACCAAGTCTTCACCCTAAAATTAATGATTCCCCTTATGGGGACCTCCAATGTCCCCATAAGGGAGGCGAGTTCCCACACGTGACTGTGTAAACAGATTTAGGTCCCCACAAGTATAGTAATGCTAGGCCACACACACACACACACACACACGCACACACACACACACTAAGCGACTGAATGATTGAACTCAGTCACAGAAACCTGCCTCCGCTCGTCTAACAGGTCAACAATAATCATCCACTCAAAACAGTCAGACCACCATACAAAAATAAACACCCTGTGAGGATATACACACACACACACACACATACGGGTGTTTAGGAGAAGTAGAGGCTTAATATGTTTGTGTTCCGAATCTGCGTATCATTATGAAGTATTTATCTTTGCAAGGCTTGACTAATGGTTAATTGATTTGCTCTTTCAGTCCCTTATATTCTTGTACAAGCAGAAGACACTGTTAATGACTATGGAGGCTGTTGATTTAGCTATACGCCTTAATTATACACATCTATATCAAAGGAATGCAATCAATTCCAATAATTGCAACAACACAGTTATGCAGCCCTGGATCAGTTTACATGGGGCCTAAGAAATTAACCATATCATAATTTCACCATATTTTTGTTCAAGACCACAATACGCAGTTAAGATTGATCTGTTACTAGAAAGCATACACAATTAACTGCTTCTACAATTACATTGAAAGATAATTTTCTACTATTAATATTTATTGATAAAGGGGTTTAAGAATTCGAATTCAACTAACCTTACTTTACTTGCACAGCTGATTATGTTATCTTCATATGCAGAATATTCTGACAGTAAAATGACTTTAAAATTGAGTGAAAACCAGTATATCCATAACAATTTCAAACTATCACATTTATTTTACCTCCTTAAAGAACAAGTTCACATTTTTCAACATTACCCACACATGCTTATTAGCATATTAACAAGTGTTATCGGCTGTTTCGCCTTCCCATATTGTTCTTTAGTTTAACTGAATATAAGACTTCAGCAGTCTGACTTGAGCAGTGTCTTACAGTTTTTTTATTACAAAATACTTTCACAGAAAAAGTATTGAGCTGCAGCAGAGGGATAGTAAAATAAAAAGCGAGTTCCTATTGAAAGATGGTTACTTTGGGAGCACACTTCACTGTTTTGACACATGGTACAACATGAGTCAGCGTTAAACTACTTTCACGGCTCTGCATCAGTTTGAGAAACAACACACTCATCTTTATGTGCAGAGTGTGTCAGAAATGAGGCACAAAGAGATTTATTTTAAATATAGCCTTCATTGTGTTGCTTAAAAAGCACTTCAGAAGAACAAATGCAATATCTCCCATAGGCTATCCTGATCCCATTTCATTTAAATACACAACTACATGAATACAACAGTTTGAGCAACAACAAAGCCACTGACATCTGTTTTACGGAGAGTGCAAGTGAAAGATCTTCTGACCAGCAGCCCCTCCCCAGACGGCGGCTGGTGATCTATACTTAAACGCCTGTCAAAGGTCATGTTCAACATACTAATTAAACACAGCCAGGCAGCAGAACAGAGACCACGATAACCACCCATCACTTCTGTGTGTGTGTGCGTGCGTGCGTGCGTGCGTGCGTGCGTGCGTGCGTGCGTGCGTGCGTGCGTGCGTGCGTGCGTGCGTGCGTGCGTGCGTGGGGGGAAATCTCATACTAGTCTTCAAACATTTAATTTGTCACTGTGTTTTGGTCTTGGTATTGACTGAATTGAATTTGGAATATTAAAACAGAAAAACGTATTTGAACTGGGGTATTTTTCAATTTTAAATGGCATTAAAATCTCTTGCCTGGGGGAAGGGGGATGCTGAGCAAAAGATTGGGTCCTCAAAAAGTTGTAGCATTTATTTATCAACAAACAGACTAACCTATAGTGTAAACACACTGCTCTTTCTCTTGACCTGGAAACTCTCTAACCGTGTGCACACAACCTATGCTCTGACTGAGTTATTGCAGAAAAGGTGTACTTAAAAATACATTTTAGTTGTAAAAACATTTAAAAGACTATTATATGTTTTTATACAGTTATTGATGTACAGCACTTTGTTCAACTCTCTTGTTTTTAAATGTGCTATAGAAATAAAATGGATTGGATTGGAAAAGACAACTTTAAAAGAATGTCCTGATAATCTCTAAGATCCAGTCTGAAGTCACGGATATAGCTCCAGCCGGCATCTTTCTTAAGCCTTCGTATCAAATGCTTTGAGGCTCAAAAGAACGTATGATATTTGACCGGAGTTTATTCATTTGTCCGGAAATTGAAAGCTTCCAAGATACCTGGAACGGCACCAATTGTTTCTAAAGGAAAACTATCCTTGATGTGCAGCTTTGTGTAACATGATAAACTACAATCAAACAACAATAGAATACAAAGGAATATAAAAGGAAAGAACAATTAGTGTATGTTTATCTTTGTACTGTCCCTTCCACCAGGCACACAGAGTGCTGGGGAACCAGATGGACCCTCCCTCTTGACAGCCTAAACCCCAGTGATGACAGAACCTCTCAAGTATACAGCGTGACATTAGAGGACAAAGCACCTGTTCCCGAGCAGCACTTTCACACCTCCCCTTCCCCACAGAAACACACACTGGCACTCTCAGCCATGAGGTCACTGTCTCACCCAGGCCAAAACTGGCTGTGCCACCTGCAACCATACCAGTCCAAAATGATCACTCGAAACCTAGCCTGCCCAGACTCCCCTCTCACCCACCCACTCTTCAATGCGTAAATCTTGACAGGCAGAAAGAACTGGTCCCAAAATTATACTCTTTATCACGAGTATCCCCTCACATACTTATTTTATAACAAATACTGAAGTCTGGAGACCATAAGAGTATCCGCCACTCAAATGGTTCTTTCAAAAGACAGAAAAGACGTTAGGTAGACAACTCAAGACAGCTGGTGTGAGTGTGCAGCGACTGAGGTTGCTACTGAGGGTGAATGGCATTCACAGATGTTTTTAGATGTCCTGCATGGCTGGACAGTTAGTGTCTGTTTGCATGAGAGAGCTGTTCACAGAGACAATTGTCTGTCTATGCTCCTCATCTCTTCATCAACACATCATCATCCTCGTTTGCCCAGCACTTGTCCCAGATATAACCCAAAACACTTCTTTTTTTTACTATAGGAAAAGAAGGGTTGAGCACGACAGGGATTGTATGTGTGTTGTTGAAAGACGAGTGAGAAGAAACCAACATTTGGAGACAGAAAAAAGCAAGAAAGTTAATGATGACAGAATGATCTCTCTTCAGAGGAAGTGTGTAAATGTACTGTTCACTGAGCTGACCCATCCGGACCACCTATGCAAGTATCTTTACTCATCAGAATAACTTGTGCTAATGATGACATGTTGTATTTTCTCAAGAATATGAATGAGAACCATTCAAATGGATGTAAAGTACGAAGTCTTGAAACACACATCACTGCCACAGCATATGTTTTGACATGAAAAGGGAAAGCAATGAAAGTTTCTTATTGGAGTCTTATTAATCTTAGTATCATGGGTATTTCCCTCCCAAATCTTACTTGGAAACCAATGGAATCATGAATAAGGCAATAGATAAATAGGCATGTGTTCTAAACATTATATTGATAAAGATCAAAATATTATATTGAGATTAATATTACAAACATAAAAACGTATAGTGAATACTTGATAAAGCTGATGTATTTGAAGGAAATTAAGTGTATACATGCTAATATAACGAATTAGCAGACCATTATTTTATGACCAAGTGTTATGATTATTGTCATCACAATAAGTATTGTATGGGAACTCTAGATTTGCTTTAAACAAACTTCATTGAAAATATTCTTTAAGATCTTCAACATGCTCAAACCAAAACAAACTGTTCAGCACGGGGTGGGACATACTCAGTCATGCTTACCAAAATAAACACACTCACACACACATGGACACAGCAAACACACGGCTGACCTTGGCAGTCAGATCCCCATAGTTTTCCTCTGGTGTTTATAGAAGTACGTTTTGATAAAAGTGTTTGTCTCATCATCATTGTTCAGCCAAGTTGTGTCATCCACCCCAACTAAGCGTTTCATTTTCAAGCCACAAACAAGAACACACACACACACACACACACACACACAACACACACACACACACACACACACACACACACACACACACACACACACACACACACACACACACACACACACACACACACACACACACACACACACACACCACACACACACACACACACACACACACACCACACACACACACACACTACACACACACACACACACACCACACACACACCACCACACAGCACACACACACACACAGCACACATACAGCACACACACACACAGCACACACACACCACACACACTACACACACACACACAACACACACACACACACACACACACACACACACACACACACACACACACACACACACACACACACACACCACCACACACACACACCACACACACACACACACACACACACACACACACACACACACACACACACACACACACACACACACACCTATTCTTCTGCAAAAAAAGGCTACTCCATGGCACGATAAGCAGCTTCAAGATATTAATGCATTCAGCTGAAATGTTTATGTAAAACAGTCAAAAGCACCATCTGCATCACAGTGATTTTCAATTCTTTATCACAGATATTCCACTATGCAAAGTGTTAAACTCATCCCTTGCCATGTGACTCAGAGGTCATATCAGGGCAAACACAGTCTGCGCTGCACTGTGGGAATGCAGAGGGGATTAAAAGGTGATGGGAGACTTTAACCAAGCTTGTCATTGCATTTAGACACATTTGAGGACAATTGGAAAACATAAACTTTTAGCATGTGCTTACCTTATGTCTAGTCTGTAGCAAGGCTGATTCTGGTTCTCTCTTCTCCCCGTCTGAAGATCCATGTCCAAGCCTATCCCTGTCCTGCTGCATGCTCTGTCCCACCTGCACCATGGCCTTACATTCCACACATGCGCCAATCACCAACCTCCTCCCATCATCCACCAGGAGCGTGCGTGTGCTGCGAGGTGCGTACAGGAAGACAGGTAGCCTGGCCACAGTGACAGCGCACAGCCTACCCTTCCTGTGCTGCTCCTTCCTGCAGAAGAAACACACAAAAGCCTCACAGCTGTACTGGCGTGCCCATGGAGAGCTCGGAGGTTGCTGGTTGGCACTGGATAAACTAGAGGTAGAAGGGGTGGAGGGACCCCTGGCCCTTACTCTCATGTTGGGCCCACTGGGAGTGTAGGTCATGATAGCAGAGATTACAAGCTGACACCAGGCCTGTGGCGTCAACTGGCTTGGCCCGTGGTGCAGGAGGATGGACTGTGAGGAAGGGGAAGAAAGGCTCCCTCTCCCCACAACGCCCAGGCGGGTTGACATGGAGCTGGTACTCTCCACCTGCGCAGAGCTCGCCTCCACACAGGTAACACACTGACATGGAGCTGCAGGGGCGAGAAGCCACAGCTGTCTGGGAATGGGCCGGACCAGAGCCCTCAATTGCCATGGCAGCGTGGTACCTGACTAGGAAGGAGCTGACAGACGTGATGAGGTCTTCACTGAGGCTGAGTCGATATGCCCCCCAGATCTCTTCCAGGATAAAATGGCACTGTGGGCAACAGTGCACACGGCCATTCCTCACCCCCTGGGCATTAGGTGGGCAAGGCAACATGTTGATGAAAGGAAAATACATTGCACCCCGGGATTTGCCAACACCAGCCTGTGCATATGCCACCCTCATATCTCCTGCACAGTCCTGACCACAGAGGAAACAGGCCTCGTGGGAAGCCATGGGTTCATTATTACACTCTATGGACTCTGAGGAAGTTAGTTGGGAAGGCTGGAGAGAACTGGTGTCGTGGTTGAGGGGGACTACATACAAACGTTGAAGGACAGGCACATCCGCCAGCTGGAAGCTCTGCCACTGCTGCATGAGAGAAGTGTGACAGCTGCCACACACCAAGGTTGTACCCGCTGGACTGATGGGTACTGCACCCCGGGGAGGGGAGTGAAGCCACAGGAAGGGGAAGAAGGGCTCGCCCTGTGCCCTCTCCTGTTTCTGAACACTGACTTTGAAACGGCCATCATGTCTGAGCCCAGTGCCACAGACAAAGCACACACACTCCTCTGCACAGGTGTCCACAGTGGGGTGCGACTTTCTAACTGAAAGGTTTCTGACATGTCTAAACTTTGCTGTAGTGCTTGTCTTTCTCTCATACATGTCTACATCATCATCACTTGTAATGTTAATCTCATCTTCATCAGAGCTGTCAGAGGTATTCTTCCTGGGAACAGCCATGTTACATTTAGTGGTGACAGCAGTGGTGCCAACTGATGACAGAGCAGTGTCGGGGTGATCCTCTGTCCTTCCTCGGTACAGCAGGGATGTATGTCTGGACGAGGCACAGCTGCTGTCGACAACACGCTGATTCTGACACGGCTCTGCATGTCTGACATTCCCCTCCTCAAGCCATCGCCTGTTGCGCATAATGACCCCGTTGTCTTGCACAGGTGTGTCAGGGAAGGGACTGTCATAGCATCGCTGAGGGAATATCTCCTGGGATTTAGCCAGGGATTCTGATGATTGACAGACATTATTTATAATTTTAGCACCGCGCCTCGCCGGCAGAACACTCTCCGCTTGTGGCGATCCCTGCGCCCCATAAACACCCACCGGGTAGCGCATTGCCCGCTGTGAATCTGGACTGTTTTTAACACTGATGACATTGTTCTTCTTGTTACTGTCTCTTGGCGATTTGCCAGATGCTCTCAGGCACTTGTCTTTGCTCATACTGGCTCTGTCGACTAAATCCATCTCCTGGTCTGACATGTTCTCGTTGTCAGAAAAAGAAGAGAAATCAGAGTCTGCGCCCCCACTGATTCTCCTCTCCAGATCATAGGAAAGGTTCCACTCCTGTGGGACCCGGCGAGAGTCGCACTGATAGGGTCGTTTCAGCCAGTACATGCGCTTCTCAATGGGCGTCCTGCTCCGCTCGAAAGAGTTCCACTGCTCGGACAGAAAAAAGTGGCACACCGCGCAAACCAGCGTATGTCCATCCGGGCTCAGTTCACACGCACCCGGGGCTGGCTCCTGATTTTGTAGGAAAGGGAAAAACGGAAGCCTCTCCTTTTGATATGTCACTTGTAGCCTCAATTCCTTCCCTGACGTAACTCCGCTTCCACATATAAAACAGTGAACCAGTCCCCCTAATCCATTCCGGTCAGTCATGGAAGTGTTGCCGGGCAATAGGCTGTCCTCCTCGGGCATAGCTGCAGCCATGAGTCGGTGTTTCCGAGATAAGGCTGCCAGTTCGATGTCACAGGAGGAGTTCATCGTTTTTAAACATCCAAGACTACGCTACATGACAAGACGTCAACAGTCAAGTTATGCGTATGATTAACACTTATCTGCAGCTTAGGAAACCATAATCAAAGTTACTCACTGGGTGATAAGATACACGATAGTCCATTGAAACGACAGCATGCAGCGAAAGCAGCAAACTGTTTGTCTTTCATGGACACCACCGAAAAAGTAAAAACAGTCCAGGCTAATTGAAGTCTGTAATCCGCATGTTTGCACTTTAAATCCGTAGGGTAGGCTATATGACTTGGGATCACGGGTCGCCTCTCCAGCGAACTTTCTGCCTGCGCGCAGCAAACTTTGGCTGCGGACTCGCTCACACTGTACAGAGCGCCATCCCCGATTCATGGGACCCGCTTCGACACCCCAAAGACAACCTCCACCCCCTGCCAGCCCCCAGTAATAATTTTACAGAGATTATGAGCACACACTCCCGCAGTAGCTGCCCATTCTTCTAAGTGCAGGATTTCCACTGTATAACAGGGGCGTGAATTGTATAAACAGACTCCCAGCATGCATGTTACCAACTGCAGGCAAACATTTGTGACTCATTAGCCTGTATCAATTAATACTAGACACTTTAGGACGACTGTTAATGAGTTTTCTCACACTTTAAAAAAAAGGTTTTACATATTTCTGGTTATTTTAGTTTTGTCATTTTCAGCATATTAATTGGGCTTACTCTGCATGTTAGGAAAATAAGAAGCAACACTGCAACACAGTGTCAAGCCACATGAGACACAGATATTGATATTACCAATATTCATCCCTCAGGCAACACATTTACAAAGCCTACAGAGCTCTGTTTTGAGTTAACAGTTAAGTAATTTCATCAAATATGAAAAAAAACACAAAATATTCAATTACGTAAATACTTACCCACACTGAAAACTCATGTCATAACTTGTGCGGGCAGATGTATTTTGATGTATGTTATTGATGACAGGTCAAAGTTCAACCTTAGTCAGTTTCCTGGCATGAGTACAAAATATCATTCCCAAACATCAAAAGCTCTTTTTTTTTAAGTAACTTCAGAGAATGGATACAAGAACATTTAAAAGCACTGAATATCCAACCAAATACTTGGGTCAGTCTCTTAAAAAGTGGTCTGATAATAGGGCCCAGCTGTACATCAGAGCAGGCTTTCCTTAACGGAGTGTCTGTGAGAAAAGGGAGAAGGCCAATAAGAGCTGAAGGAGCTTCTTTATCGTTGGGTTGGGAGAGACAGTATTCCAGGGGCTTCACAATTTGAAAAGAGAAATCCACTTTTGAGAGAAACCTATGAATTTCTCTGGCCTTAGAAAACTAAATGGCATTTTTGGCAGCTTATTTAATATTTAGGACAAGCGCAGCACGTCAGCAGAAACAATTATCTATGTATCTATGTATCAATCGATCTGGCAGCATGTTGGTCTGTTTTTGTGTGTTATGATGTTCAGAATTGGGTCTTTAAGGAAGGTGAGAAAGAGAGGCATGTAAAGAAAGGCTGGCAACACAATGGATATCCTCCTCATGCCATGCACATATACACACATATACAATATTAACAACCCATACCCTACTTCCCTCCTATTGCCGAACTCCAATATATTTGACCAAGACAAGACAGCGAGTTGAGTAATCAACCCTTAAATATTTACGTCATCACACGCATAAACATTTATGTCTGTCCGCTCCACTGTGTGTGGCCCCTGGCCTCCTCTACTGAGTGACTCAATGATGTCAGAGAGTCAGGGACTACCTCTACCTTAATACCTCTGCATTTCACCCTGATACCCTCTTCATCATATATGTCCCCTGAAGACAAATTACATTTCCTCTTCAGCCTTCCAACCTAGAACTTAAAAAGGTTTATTTTAAATGACACTGCCAAGCTTCACTTTTACTTCTTGCACCCCCAAGATTCTCTTCAGCATGGCAACCAAGAAACATCACACAAAAAGATATTCCTGAGTGATGCTGACTTGTTTCTACAGAAAAAATGTGAAGTGGGGGAGGGGGAGTAAATATACAGTATATGTTTTAGACTAGTTATTCTAATTAACATATCCATAGTGCATATTCTAAGAACCTGTCAAAGACATACACAAAACATAGGAAAAAGCATTGATGATGTCCGGCTAAAAGTTTCAACACTGACACGTGGTGTTCAATCTTAGTACTGCATAATTTGGGAGATCCCCATATGCACCAGACAGACTGCAAGGGGCTCATGTGGGCATATCACAGTCAGGCAGAAGAAAGAATGAAGGAGAGCAAGCAAGCAAATGCTATTAGGGGAAAGAAAACTAGAGAAAGCTGTAGCTAAAAATAATCATATTTATTTTCCCCTCTCCTTCTTTTATTTGTCTTACTTTCTCCGTGCAGTGGTTCTCTAAGAGCAATGCAAGTCTGAGGTTCAGAAGGTGATAAGGTTGAAACAAATAAATAAAATGTGTATTTTCCGCAAAACGTCTACATCAATCTACAGATTCAAACCTTTTGTGAAATACTGGCTACTTTGACCTCTTACAGCCTCCACACTTCATAATATGGCCATCAGCTGTGATGTAGGCCCCCGTAAAATCACACTGTGACTGCTCATATGGTGTACATTATACTTGTCATGTACACTTTGTCTCTATGCACTTATGTTCATATATTTGGTATCAGAATCATTGCCTAGTACCTAGAGGCAGGTCATACAATGTTCATTTTTCTGTTCATGTTAATTAAAAACTAGCAACAAATATTACATTTCTATACTCACTTCAAGACCCACGATGCAACACTTGTGCTTTACGCCGTAACACATGAATATGGAGATTTTGACTTAATCTCTGAAACTGTGTTCAGTCCCTGGCAGATGCTTTAATGTGCATGTGTGTAAAAATGATCTGTGCACATTCCCTGCTGCCGTTATGTAGGTCTCATGTGATTGAGATGACCACCGTATTGCTCTTCATACTCTGTATGGAAATTGCTCTGCTCTGACAGACCCTCAGGCTGGGGAGAGTGGAAAGGGAGATGGGATTGAGGGGGGACTGGGATATGTGTGTGTGTGTGTGTGTGTGTGTGTGGGTGTGTGTGTGTGTGTGTGTGTGTGTGGGTGTGTGTGTGTGTGTGTGTGTGTGTGTGTGTGTGTGTGTGTGTGTGTGTGTGTGTGTGTGTGTGTGTGGTGTGTGTGTGTGTGTGGTGTGTGTGTGTGTGTGTGTGTGTGTGTGTGTTGAGGTGGGGTTAGCGAGGGGAGAAAGTGGGAGGGTGATCTGAATAAAATCCTCTTGTTGAGTAGTGTAGACCCTCAAGGAGTTTTAAAACAAGGTGATGACAGGGGCAGGAAGAGGGCAAAGACTCTACACTGTGTGTGAGTGTGTGTGGGTCTAGGTGTGTGTAATAGTAAGGCGTCCCACCCAATGTCCTGCAGGCTGTCTGTTTCAATTTCCATAGACAATTGGAGGACAGTGGAGTGTCCTCAGCAGATTAAGCAATGTACTTACTCTTGTCTCTTCTATTTTACAGCTCTAAAATATAACCCACCGCATCACATTCTTATTATTTTTCATCTAAGGCACACAGCAGTCTTTTAAGTCTTATAAAATAGGCTGGAAATAAGTTGTGGAGCTGTGTCGTATTATTTCTGGTGCTACCTTTAATAACTCTTAGCACCTGTTTCAAGTGAGGGTCATGTAACATTCTTTACATGTTGAGTTCAGATGCTTCCATTGGGCGGAGGTTTAGACCCCCCTCAAAGGTAGCGCTAATAGATACAGATAGCTCTTTCTCCCATCTGTTTTAGTTTTTTTAAACAAACTATAACTCCGGATGTCATGTCATTCCGTCTTCTCTTTCCATGATTTATGGTGACACTGCAGGAGATATGGATCTTGTGCTGTGTTGCATATGATGTGTTTTATGAGATGAATGATGCATTGTATGCTTTTGTAATTGATTATTGTCTTTAAAGCAAATTTCCCCTCTGGGACATTTTGAATCTTGAATTATATGCTGCACATGATGCATTGCTGGAAGCGTTGATTTCTGTATTAACTTTACCTTTGTCACACTCCCTGAACAAACTTGTGATCATAGCACCTAAGCATTTAAAAAACAAAAATCCAGCATTTTTTTGTGTATGCACAAACAGCACATTCACATAAAATGCTCAAAGGTTTAGCCTGCGTATCATGTTTTCTGATACTTAAGGCTTGTGACAGATACTGCCCGTCATAAATACACCTTATTCCTCCATAGGTAATATACTACAATGGACTCTCTGTAGTCAAAGATCACCATATGTGCATGTGCAGTGCAAGCATAAAGTATGTCATCCTTTATGTGTCTGGGCTTTCAAGGCCATCTGGGAGGAATTATTTGACCGTTGCACCAGAGGACTCCAAACTTCAGCACAGTGATCTCCAGGGATCTGAACATGTCAGTAGGTGTGAGAGAGAATATAGGTATAGTGTACTAAGAAAAAGTACTTTTTTCAAGCAGGGTGAGTGCCATTCCAGAGTTTTAGCAAAGGAAAAAAAAAGTATTGGCTGTGTATAGCACAGAAGATGATTGTAAAAATCCTTAATATACATCAACAGAAGTGATATTGTGCAGAAGCACATTGTCAAAATGTAAAAATAATTTACAAAACAAGGAAACCAAGACAGAGCGAAGATGTAACAGCCTGCATGTATGCCAACAGCTATGATGGTTAGGTTCAGTGCTAAAACACAACTAAGCAAGTTAAGGCCCATATTTAGTTCTCAGAGACTACTCAGCAAAGCTAGCGTTAAGATACGTTCTTGGTGTTTATCTAAAAACTATTTTCTCAGATCAAATTGATTTAACGCCTCAGATTTATTAACAATAACAAGTACACTAACACATCTCTGTGTCTCCAGCAGCCTCTAACCTCTGCTTCATTAACAGCTTAACAGCCCTTCCACTCTCCTGTTAATACAGCTTGATCTGCTCTTTCTGTCACATCTTCTGCTTCAAAAAAGTTCATGTACACCTAACACAGATGTTTTCTCTCATTTTTGCCTGATTAGCCCAATCCCCGAGGACTGATTAGACTCAATCAAACCGGCAAGATTGATATGTCTGTTGACTTTGTAGTCACTCAGTGCCTTCCTTTCCTCTCCTCTTCACTACTCTTCCCCCTTTCCTCCTTTTCCTTCTATTGTACTCCTGTTGCTCTGTTGATGAAGATTTCAACATACTTGTAGAAATATTTCTTATTCCTTTTAAGTATTTGATGTAAACATTGCTGTAGTAATTGCTTATGTGTAAGTCTTATGATTAGTGTGCTAATTGATCTTCTTGGTCAGCCTCTATTCATAACTTGTTTTTTCTTACATCGATCATGTCAAAAGGTCT